TGCTGACTGCTCTGCCCTCCTCTACAACTGTCACGGTGTCACCTTAATCTTACCGATCTATTCAGTTGCTGACAAGTTGACAACCCTGTCAGTGTTACTGACAGCGACAGGATACATTAATTCAGGCTATTCGACTCAAATGAAATCATTGTTGCACTTAAATTTTCGGTCGTTCATTATTTTATTTAATAAAGAAATGATACCTACCTAAACTAAAGCCTCTCTAAATGGTATTTCTATATAAGCATTTGTCAACATTACATAATGATAATACATACTCTACCTATCTGCTAAAACTCTCAAAAAAAGTTGTGACCATGTTTGTGCTGACAATATCAAATATGTTTCAACCTGAATGATGCTGAATTATAAGATAGGCTGATGGCTACAGGGCCCTACTGGCTACTGCCACTGGGTCTAGGCAACCCAAAATTAAATGGCTAAATCTAATGCAAGATTAAGACTGAGAGTTCTCGAATCTCAATAGAATTTTCCTTAAAAAATGGTAAGTAGCCAAAGTAGGCTAGGTAAGAGATAATCAAGATAAATCAAGAAAAAATATTGACAAGAATAATAACAGAGATGCAAGAATATATGGCATTATAACTGCCATTAGCTTAAAAATCAATTCGTTAGAATTTCCCCTCCATTTCTTCGACCGTTAAGTAGAGTGGCAGCCATTACTGCATTTACTGGCATAGCTAATAGTAATAGAAGTTTATCCGTCAACCCATCTTTTTCTAGTCATTTATTTCTTTTTTGGCTCCACAGAATTGGTAAGTAACACCGGGACCGTAAATAATAGCATTAGTTGCAGTTATTACAGTTTTTTGGGCCATTTTGAGGTCAATTTTATTTTATCTAATCTCAAATATGACACCGAAACAACGTAACGCACGGCCCGACACGGGTTTGTTTACGTTTACCATGGTTGAACTAGTAAAAGGTTGACCCACGAGAAGCTCAGCTTTGCGGATGGCGTTCGCTGTTCCGCCTGTGACGTCACTGAGATCGCAAAACGTAAACAATCACGTGTGTCACGTTGTTTTAGTGCCATTTTGGAGAGTATTTATAAAAAATTCACCTCCTCAAAATTCCCCCTAAAACATTAGCATCTTGAAATAGTCTTCATTTAATGATGTAGAAGTTTTGAAGCGATTTGGTCGCGCGGATATTAAATAAGTGGGACATTAAAGAGCCAGGGTCGCCTTCTATACATGCACATCATGATTGGTGAAGAGCCATATTTATATTGGCGGCCTCTCCGCTCAGACGATGACGAAATAAACTATCACACGACGGCCAGAAGAAGCCTTCTCCACAGCAAATCCTATTTGATTCAAGTGAGTAAATTTCTACAATCTACATACTACTATCCCCTATTTTTATGTCAATTTATCCCAAGTTTTCAATTTTGATAGTACTTCTTTTCATGTTCTCACTTCTCTGTTTATTAACAACAATGCACTTGTTTCTATTTGCCAGCTAATAATTTCAGTAAATCTTTTTGGATTTTTGTTTGGGGCTAGACAATAAACTAATAAGGACTATAGCTTCAGATATTGTTAAGACTTAAGAATACAAACCCAAGGGGAGGGCCCAGCCACTAGCCAGTAACACTAACAGTAACATCTCAACACAGAGCACGGTCTGACTCTGGAGTGCTTTTTCTTAACAAGCTTACTGCTTACCTAATTGAATGAATAATACAAACCTAAATTAAACAACTCCTTCAGGTACCTAAAAATGTAATGTTGTTGAATGCTGAATTCTTGTTCAAAAGGGGAAAACCAACTTCTTGAGGAATTTAACAATTATTAACTTCAATATATACCAGGCACAGGCAGTGCAGAATGAAGCACAGACACAGGAAAACTGTACAATGATTATTCCAAAAGGTTTGTACTGGATTACAACTGTGCATTATATTAATAAAAATATACTAGGGAGTAGGGCTCATTTTCTTGTCATTGTCAAGGTCATACTGGGCCCCTGGGGTGCTTTTTCTTAACTAATAGATTTATACTGAGTTAGGTATCACCACAGTTGAATATTGATTTGCAGTAAATAATTGTACATCATTTTGGAAGGCATAAAATTTGTTTCACACTACTACTGCCATATTTAGTGACATTATTCTACAACTTTTATGAATTATAAGAGCCAGTTTAACCAAGAAAATAGCTGATGGGGCTGGGGCCTATTCTGTGCCCTGAGAATATTTAAAATAAAACCCAAGATCAGATCTCTTGACTTTTATTAATCAATATAATATAGCAAGAGAGTGAGACTACTCTCAGTCTGTCTGTAGGCTAGATAGGAATGTTTTTTTGAAACAATTTTGGATAACAATCTGGAAGCTAGAGAACTCAACTATCTTGGAATCTTTGTAGGATTTAAAAATTGGTACAAAAAATAGTACAGCAATATTTTAATTATAGTGCATAAATAATGTTCTTCATATTACAACTTGACTGAGAGAGACATAAATCCTAAGAGACAAATTTCTGCATTCTTAACAGTCAGTTGGGTGGATAGTTCTCCTTGTGATGTATACTTAAACATTGTGCAGGTTTGATTGAAGACCAGAGCATACTTTTCATTAAAAATGAAGAACTTCTGCCTTTCTAC